TGCTGTCCAGCCGCGAAGCACCAACAAGTCCCGCAACAATGGGAAGGCGAAATCCGCATCGCAGGCCGGAAATGGACAGCCAGGACAGTTTTCATGGGTCAAGTTTGGCTTGACCGAGGCGGAGTACAAGGTCCGCGGCCGCTACGGCAGCTGCTATTGGTGCAACAGCACCAAGCACAAGACCTCCCTGTGCCAGGATCAGGGCAAGGAGGATGTGCGACCCCGCCTCAGCTCGGGAGACTGAGCTCCGCGGAAGGTGAGGCGACTCCACCTTCCACTCCGCCAGATTCGGCCGCCTTGCTAGCGGTCTCCTGCACATCTGGGGAGGATGCGAATGTCGCAAGTCCTCGGTATACTTACGAGGATTATGCTGTCCACTTGGTTCYACCGCTGGACCAGCCGCTCCACGTGCAACAGTCCACCGCATGCACGGTTTCATCACCATCGGCAACCGATTCGGCAGCTTCGCCGCAACCTATCGCCGGGGATTCGACGTCATGGTCAAGACTTGAAGAGCTCGACCCATTGACGTTCACGGACTTCCAGTGGATGCCCGTTCCCTCGACCGGACGATTGTCGAAACCACATTGCAACGTGCTTATGGCACAATTGCGGGACTACTTGCACACTGCAGTACCAGCTCCGTTGATGGACGCCGGAGCAGAGGTTGTCGACCTTCACGCTTTCATCGCGAAGATCGACCGCGAGTTCAAGACGCAACGGTACGACGACATCGACGCACCATTGCTTTACATACGCATTCAGATCGGAGAGGCGACCTGCAGTGCCTTGATCGATTGCGGAGCATCTCGCAAGTACATCAGCCAGGACTTCATGGTACGCGCCGGCCTTGGCCCACGTGTCCGGAGGAAGTCCCAGCCTACGCAAGTCACGCTGGCAGACGGTCATACGCACAAGTCCATCGACCGGTGCATTGACGTCGTCCCTGTGTACTTTGCCCCTCACGCAAGTGAGGCGGTGTCCTTTGACATTCTGGACACCAAATTCGACATGATCTTGGGCATGTCATGGCTGCGAAGCGAGGATCACCCGGTGAACTTCTTCCACCGCACCGTTCACATCCGTGATCGGAACGGAGTATTAGTTCCATGCACGGTGCCTCTTCCTCATCCTTCGATCAGCTGCCACGTGGTATCCGCCGCAAGCATGCGAGCATCCATCATCAGAGACGACATCGAGGAGATGGGGGTATGTTTTCTCCACGCCCTCCCGCCCCGAGACGCTTCATCGACGGACTCATCTTCGGATCCACGCATCACCGAGCTTCTCGACAGTTACAGCGACGTGTTCGAAAGCGTGCACGGAGTAGTACCGGATCGACCCATCCGCCACGAGATCATACTCGAGGACGGGGCCGTACCTCCGCGCGGTTGCATCTACCGAATGAGCGAGGAAGAGTTAAGCGTGCTTCGGGCACAACTCGACGACCTTCTAGAGAAAGGCTGGATTCGGCCTAGCTCATCGCCATACGGTGCTCCTGTTCTCTTCGTCCGGAAGAAGAACAAGGACCTGCGGTTGTGCATCGATTATCGCAAGCTCAACGCGCAGACGATCAGGAACGCCGGCCCTCTCCCACGCATCGACGACCTTCTCGAGCGATTGGGCGGCGCCCA